GATTTTCACGGCGAACGTACTCACGTTGTAACACATAAATATTCTGTCCACTTCAGCTTCTGTTCTATAATAAAATACCTATGCTACTTTTTATTCCATTACATTGATCTGGTTTTAAATTCTCTTAACAGGTGAGTATTAAAACGTACATCCATGTTTTCTTTTAAGGATGTATTGGCTATACAGTCAATCCCAAAAGTTTATGTACCTTAGAAAAACGCATTTCCTATAATTAAAAAGAAATCAAACGTCGGAAGAATAATGCTAATAATAAATAGCTACGTGCTAAAAAGTATAGAAGGAAATATCCAATTAAGTATTGACGCTGGCGACAAATTTTTACATGGAAATTGTAGATCTCGTCGTCCTCTACAAGAAAGGTTATATGCAATTTTTCCGTATGTCCAACGGTTTGGGAGTTATTGGCCAAAAACGAAACTTTGGAAGAAATTGAAGGGGTACCCCTTGGAAAAATCTCGGAAAAATCGAAATTTTTTTTTTGTTGTTTATTATTAGCAATGTTCTTCCGACGTCTGATTTCTTTTTAAAAAATGCGTTTCTAAAGTGCATAAACTTTGGGATTGACTGTATAGCCAATACATCCTTAAGAACTCCCGATAACAGTTGATATTAAAAAAAAAACATACTAATTTTATATTCATGGACAAATATCAGTTTATTAAAAATATCAATTTCTATTAACCGCACAGCGCGGATTTTGTATTATACCTTAAAAATTGTATTCGGAAATATAAACTTCCGCTGGGAGAACAAGCAGGAAGCGAATCTTGATTCAAAGACGGGCCCAAATGGAATCGATAAACAAACAACGTGGTACGTTTATTAAATTTCCTTGGTGAAACGAAGAACCCGTGGTAGAACTTACTACGGAATAAAAATAGCGTGCCCGAAGGTAAGTACGTACAACAGACGTTTTCGCAAACAGTATCGTCTAGCATTGAGGCGCGCCACTCTAGCTGGGAACGGGAAACTCTGCTCTCTCGTGGTCGTCGAATTGAATATTGCAAACGGAACCTTTTCTCGAAAAACCGATACAAGCAGATCCGAACGAATCTCCATCCCCCTCCTCCTCTAGCGTGGTACTATGTACTCCAAAAACAGGAAGCATGTCGTCGGGGTCGTCGCCGAAACCGGAAAAGGTCTCGTATCTTGTACCGTTGGCTAGTACAGTGAAAAGGTAATAGCGAAAGGAAAATTGGAGAAGGAAACGGAACAGAAGAAACACAGGGGTGGAACGGAAATAAAAAAGAAGGGTCTCAGGTTCGATAAACATTGCGTGTAGCCGAAATGTCAGCACAGTACGTGAACTCGTCCGTGTACGAACTTGCATATACGGACATGTATATGTACATATTTAAGTATATGGGGTGTTCAAAATTTCATTCCGAGGAAAAGCATATAGAAAATAGATAGTCAATGAATGTACGTATTTTATGAAAAAAAAAATTGTTTAATATTATTGATTTAAAGCAGAATGTAAATTTTTTAATTGTCTCCATTAATGTATTCTAAGTTAAATATCAAATTGTTATTAGTCGATTCGACTTATCATGATATTAACATGTCTGTACACTCCAAAGAGCGATTTCCGGTTGTTTGTTTCGGTGCCCTCCATAAAAACGTAAAGATATTGTTACAATTCACATCTGAATAGAAAAATTGAATTTGACCATTTATTACTGTTCATACAATATTGTTTTCTTCAAGATAATTTTCCAACAAGCTGCATAGGTCAATTTTATTGCAGGGCAACCCTGTACGTGTGCAAACGGGAACGTGTTCACACATCGCACCGATGGAATTCACACAGAAGAGGTCCCGGATCGCAGTGACGCGATGACGCAAAGCACACACGTGCGGTTTACGTGCTTGCACACCACCACACCGCGCCACAGAGAGGAGCGACGCGGACACTCCGGTCTGCCTGCCTGCCTGCCTGGCCAGAGCACGAAATATTTGAGTTGCTTGGCAAACACGTAAATGTAAACGCCGCGTTTACACTGTCGTTTACTTTTCGCTCTCCCCTGCTGCTTCCGCGCCTCCTGCACCGCCTGAAGCCCCTCCGGGCGACTTCGAGCTACGACCAAGAAACCTCGACGACGTTCCCGGATAACGGTTAAGCAAAGAGGCGGCGGTGACGAAGGAGGGTGGGTGGCGAAGGAAATAGAGGCGAATAGAGACTGTGTCGTCGTCGAGAACGGAAGGTGACGGCTATGTGGCGTGGTAGAGACGGCGACAGCGACGGCTGCGAGCGATGAGAAGCCGACCGGGTGTAGGGAGTCAAGAGAGGAGGTTGAAGGCGGAGGTGGCGTCGCGACGACGCTGGCGGGGAACTCGAGTCGACTAACCGTCAGGTAAATATTGACCGAGCGGGATATTGCTCCCGATGCTTGTTTGTTTATTTCAATACCCGTGACCGATGGGCTCGATAGGGGTTGATTGTGCGCGTAGGAGGAAGAGAACATCATACGGGCGCGCGCACATCTCCACGTGTGTGTTTATACATGATCCCAGCAGCGCATGTTGCATGTTTTCGTGTTCGAGAATATATTTGAGTAGTGATTAGAC